TACACTGCTCACCAAGGTAAGGGGGCCCTACACTGCCCACCAACGTAAGGGGGCCCTACACTGCCCACCAAGGTAAGGGGGCCCTACACTGCTCACCAAGGTAAGGGTGCCCTACACTGCCCACCAAGGTAAGGGTGCCCTACACTGCCCACCAAGGTAAGGGTGCCCTACACTGCCCACCAAGGTAAGGGGCCCTACACTGCCCACTAATCTAAGGGTGCCCCACACTGCTCACCGACATAAGGGTGCCCCACACTGCTCACCGACATAAGGGGGCCCTACACTGCTCACCGACATAAGGGGGCCCTACACTGCTCACCAAGGTAAGGGGGGCCCGTTCACACACGGGTGTAATGAGAACACGTGTTGGGGTGACGCATGTTTCCGCTCCTTCGCAGGTGTTTGTATCCCGTGTTTGATTTTAGCGGGTGCTGAATGTAGCGGATTCTGTGACATGCGTTCCACGTTTCTTTCCACGCACATTTCAACACATGACAGAAGCGTGTTTGCTCGGCTGTGTTTGGGGTGCGAGCTCGTTGCGTGTTTGGCGCGCGTTTCATGAACGGGGAATAGGGGTTCCTCGGGGTGAAAGGTCGAGAAAGATCTTCTTCATCCTGTAATTGCGTGTGAAGAGTTACAGGATGGAACTGAAGTAACTGGCGGGATTTTTGGCAGAGGAGCTGACAATCTGAAGTCGCGTTTACTTTCAGGACGATGAATGTTCCATTTCACTTCGAGGAACTTTTCGTGTCCTTCAGAGAACGGAGTTTGTTTTCCTGCGAGGACATCTGGCTGTGCCGTCTGTGGGCCCCCAGTAGAAGGAAGTGGCCCCGGGGCCTCCAGCCTGGATGTGTTGTTCCTTTGTTTGCGTTGTGTTTGGGGGGAAAAGTGCTGATTCGGTGAAACGCGTCTCCGCTCCGGCCCGCTGGGATTTTACTGCCGGCCGCATCTGTTTCTGCTTTGTCCATGCAACGCTCGGAGCCAGAGAGCTGCGGCTTCCTGCAAACTGCGCCGAGCTTTCCAAGAATCATGGCGGTGCCGGAGAGAGGAGCGCGGGGAGACCTGCCAGAGACGCCCGGCTCACTCCATCATTTTCTGCCTCCTCAGCATCACAGCCAATCATCGGCTGGAAGATTAACTCCTCACAGGGAGGCTGCAGACTGGGGACCTTCAACGACGGTATTCTGTGCCTGGGAGTATCTCCCTCATTGATCCTCTGACGTCTTTACACGCACATGAACTCTAATAGCCCCCCAGTCTTAGTCCGTAGGGTTCAGTATTGGGTTAGCTCCGCCCTCTAATGCCCCCCCAGTCTTAGTCCGTAGGGTTCAGTATTGGGTTAGCTCCGCCCTCTAATGGCCCCCCAGTCTTAGTCCGTAGGGTTCAGTATTGGGTTTGCTCCGCCCTCTAATGACATCTCAGTCTTAGTCCGTAGGGTTCACTATTGGGTTGGCTCCGCCCCTCTAATGATCCCCCAGTCTTAGTCCGTAGGGTTCAGTATTGGGTTAGCTCCATCACATGATATGGAGGGAGAGGGGCCAATACTTTTGGGAATATAGTGTATATATATATGAAATCGGCTCCATGTGTTCTGAGTGCCAGGAGAGCTCGCCATGTGGACGTTGATCACCATGCACATGTGTTATACGCAGGCTGCACCATCTATATATGATCACATGTACCCCCAACATGATGAAGGTCCTCTGTGATTGGTCAGTTTATAAGTAGAATATTCTGCAACATGTGACATAGACAGAGAACCAAAAGAAAGGCACCTGAGAGCGGGGACTATAGGGACCGCCACATACCTGTCCATTGTCCTGCCCTGTGTGCAGCCTGCGGGCCCCCAGCATCATATGTCACATGTCACATGACGCATCACTCAACATACCGTCCGCAGTACTGCTCTCAAGAGTCCACAGCTCTGATACAAGCAGTGGGCGGGCTCTTGGGAGGAGTTATGCAAATATCGATGGCACTCGCTCACTCGGTGGATTTTAGATTTTGGGAAATTCTGTTGAAATAATTTGCAGCTTTATTCCAAGATGACATCACAGACAAAATGGAGGTTTATAGTCCAGATGGAGGGCGGAGAAAAGAATAGAGGCCGCGTCCTCTACTCCTGAGCTGCACATGGAGGCACTCCGCACTGGGGTGGGGGGGAGGGGCTGCTGTATGATATGTTCATAGCCGTGTATAAACCTTCCAGACCTTCCGAAAAATAGAACTTCCACATGTGACGACCCCCCAACTTCTTCTCCTTCTCAGATCCCTACTAGAGGACGAGTGTCAGTCCCTGAAGAGAGACATTACCAACCTGCAGGTAAGTGACACCCAGATACAGCAACAGAGGAGAGACAGGGGGGACATTAGAGTGTAAGCTCCTCTGTACAGAGACTGATGTGACTGTGGGGGAGGGGACATTAGAGTGTAAGCTCCTCTGTACAGTGTAATTAGACATTCTGATGTCATTACCTCCTGTAGATATTTACCTGCCGGGCTCTGTAATCTCAGCTCATTGATCTGTTGCCGTGGTGTCAGTGCAGGCTCTTGAATTATCTGTAGTGTCTGATTAGATGCAGTCACATTTTATTGCTCTGAGCTAAGTGTGGACACATGGGATTCTGTGTCTATGTAGGGAAGTGTGGTCATTCTTTATGGTCCTCGGTCACTAGACACTGACGTGTGTCCCGGTATGGCGGTGGTCCTGTGGCGCTGGATTTGGGGTGAATTGCGGCAGGTGGTGCTGATCTCGGGACGGCACTTATGTAATAATGTAAATTCCTTTTTTTGTGTATCTTCGTAAATTTCATCCCCCTAAACACGACATCATCCTTGTATATAAAGTGCAGCACATGAGTACAGTGCCGTCAGAGCAGAATATCGGGGTGCAGGTCATTGTTTGAGGGTTCAGCGATGGATAGAATAATAAGGAAACAGATTACATTGTAGCAGCTCAGAGAAGAAATGTAACAAATCATTATAGTAACATTGTATCACTCGGGAAAATCCATTATTTCCCATCTCGCTTTCTTATAACTCGGCATAAGATCGGGGGACATTTTGGAGTCGGGGGAAGGGAAGAGAATTGTTCATGATTTCAGCCATCGTTATATGGAGGCCGGTGTGTTCTGTGCAGCAATGGCGCCTCCTGCTGGTTGCTGTTCGGATCGTCTTTTCTTTACCACCTCTGACACACGCGACTTCCATCACCTGAACGTTTTGTAGCGCGTTCTACGCTCGACGAACGCTCTACAAAACGCTCAAACATCTAAATCGCATTGTATTCAATGGGTCTGGTTCACACCTTGGCGTATTTCCTCCCGTCCCTAACGCGCTACAAAACGGGCCACGCCTGAAAAGGTACAGGTAGTACTTTGGGCCGTTTTTGTTGCGCGTTTCCATTGGGATACAGCAAAGTAGCCCTTGGAAACGCGCGTTTGGCGCGCATTTTTTTTACCGCGAATCGCGGTAAAAAAAAACGCGCGACAACCGCGCATATGCAATACGCCTAGGTGTGAACCAGGGCTTACACACACGACTTCCATCACCTGGGTGACCAATCAGTGTGACCATAGATCTGACACTCGTGTCAGCTGACCCCCGGAAATGTCCCTGGAACTGTCCCTGGATTCCAGAGTGTGGTACCCAATGTGTCATGTTCCATTCTTAAGGTGCCCATACACCTTACGACCATCGCAAGACTTTTGTCTTGCGATGGTCGTATGCTTCTTGAAAGCCCGTACGATCTGCCCACCTTGGACGGGCAGATCGTACTTGCGATCATCGAAAGCCCGCCCCGCTGAGGAAAAAAAAAGTGATTATTCGGCAATAGCAGAGTATTATTTATATATATATAGATCACTTTAGGGACAAACAAGGTTTTCTTTGGGTGATAATGTCTCACAGAAACAAATACATTTCATTCTATATTTGGCCCCACTTAAAATGACACTAAAATTATGATTCTGATACAACTTTACCTACAAATTAAATACAGACTTCTGTTTTTTCAACTTTTTAAACAAAGTGAATTAAATCAGAAGAAACGTTTGAATATTAATGTTAGGAGAGTAATGAGGGAAAGAATGAGTTAATAAAGGCTTATTATGGAAACTAAGAGGTAGTAAGGCATTGAATAGGAACAGATTTTAATTTTTAGAAATTGATCAATGTATATAAACAATGTTACTTTGTATCTATCTCTCTCCCTCTGATCAATGTTTATATACAATGTTACTTTGTATCTCTCTATCTCCCTCTGATCAATGTTTATAAACAATGTTACTTTGTATCTCTCTATCTCCCTCTGATCAATGTTTATAAACAATGTTACTTTGTATCTCTCTATCTCCCTCTGATCAATGTTTATAAACAATGTTACTTTGTATCTCTCTATCTCCCTCTGATCAATGTTTATAAACAATGTTACTTTGTATCTCTCTATCTCCCTCTGATCAATGTTTATAAACAATGTTACTTTGTATCTCTCTATCTCCCTCTGATCAATGTTTATAAACAATGTTACTTTGTATCTCTCTATCTCCCTCTGATCAATGTTTATAAACAATGTTACTTTGTATCTCTCTATCTCCCTCTGATCAATGTTTATAAACAATGTTACTTTGTATCTCTCTATCTCCCTCTGATCAATGTTTATAAACAATGTTACTTTGTATCTCTCTATCTCCCTCTGATCAATGTTTATAAACAATGTTACTTTGTATCTCTCTATCTCCCTCTGATCAATGTTTATAAACAATGTTACTTTGTATCTCTCTATCTCCCTCTGATCAATGTTTATAAACAATGTTACTTTGTATCTCTCTATCTCCCTCTGATCAATGTTTATAAACAATGTTACTTTGTATCTCTCTATCTCCCTCTGATCAATGTTTATAAACAATGTTACTTTGTATCTCTCTATCTCCCTCTGATCAATGTTTATAAACAATGTTACTTTGTATCTCTCTATCTCCCTCTGATCAATGTTTATAAACAATGTTACTTTGTATCTCTCTATCTCCCTCTGATCAATGTTTATAAACAATGTTACTTTGTATCTCTCTATCTCCCTCTGATCAATGTTTATAAACAATGTTACTTTGTATCTCTCTATCTCCCTCTGATCAATGTTTATAAACAATGTTACTTTGTATCTCTCTATCTCCCTCTGATCAATGTTTATAAACAATGTTACTTTGTATCTCTCTATCTCCCTCTGATCAATGTTTATAAACAATGTTACTTTGTATCTCTCTATCTCCCTCTGATCAATGTTTATAAACAATGTTACTTTGTATCTCTCTATCTCCCTCTGATCAATGTTTATAAACAATGTTACTTTGTATCTCTCTATCTCCCTCTGATCAATGTTTATAAACAATGTTACTTTGTATCTCTCTATCTCCCTCTGATCAATGTTTATAAACAATGTTACTTTGTATCTCTCTATCTCCCTCTGATCAATGTTTATAAACAATGTTACTTTGTATCTCTCTATCTCCCTCTGATCAATGTTTATAAACAATGTTACTTTGTATCTCTCTATCTCCCTCTGATCAATGTTTATAAACAATGTTACTTTGTATCTCTCTATCTCCCTCTGATCAATGTTTATAAACAATGTTACTTTGTATCTCTCTATCTCCCTCTGATCAATGTTTATAAACAATGTTACTTTGTATCTCTCTATCTCCCTCTGATCAATGTTTATAAACAATGTTACTTTGTATCTCTCTATCTCCCTCTGATCAATGTTTATAAACAATGTTACTTTGTATCTCTCTATCTCCCTCTGATCAATGTTTATAAACAATGTTACTTTGTATCTCTCTATCTCCCTCTGATCAATGTTTATAAACAATGTTACTTTGTATCTCTCTATCTCCCTCTGATCAATGTTTATAAACAATGTTACTTTGTATCTCTCTATCTCCCTCTGATCAATGTTTATAAACAATGTTACTTTGTATCTCTCTATCTCCCTCTGATCAATGTTTATAAACAATGTTACTTTGTATCTCTCTATCTCCCTCTGATCAATGTTTATATACAATGTTACTTTGTATCTCATAGAGCAGCTATTGTCACATTACAATTAGGCCGGTGCTTCCCAGGTAGAGGGCGTGACCAGAATTCCGGCTGTGACTAAAATGTCCCAGAACAAGTCGGCAGTTTAGAGTCTCTCTCATTTGGTCATTTTGGTTAAATTCGGTAGTTTTTGTTCTCCGGACACATGTTGACTTTCAGATGACATCTATTCAGGGCAGAAGACATTTCAGCTATGATAGAAATGCTCATCTGGTTTGTAATATCCAATCTTGTTCTTCCTGTTATTCTACCACAATGCTCTGGAAACAAGAGCGAGGCAGTGTGGTTGCTAGGGGCAACAAGATCAGTTTTTCCTTCAGACATCTTTGATGGTCGTGCGTCTCCAGTTCCTTTGTCTTCTTGGTGAGGTCGGTATCTGTAGACGGATCTGAAGTCTCCTTATTTGTGTTTTCTATACAGCAAAACCTTGAAGACGATTGTCTGTACGCGGAGGAGACGCCGCCGGCCGATCCCTCTCTGACAGGTCTGCGGTTATTTCTTTACAGATCTCGCTCATCCATTTGTCTCTGTCACGTTGTTGGCGATATTAGAAAATGTTTTCATTCTTAATTTGCAGAGCTGAAGGAGGAGAGACGGATCATCGAGAGGGATCTGCAGCTCGATCAGCTGTCAGCGACGTCCGTACAATCACCCAAGAACAGGACCCCGGCCAGGTGAGGGGGAGGGGTCCATAGGTGTGTTTATTGGGGTGCGTTGGCCCCTTTCGCAGCCGTGTCATGTCATAGAGATGTACAGAACTGCACCTGTGTGTCCCAGTATCAGGTCTCTGCACCCCCATGCAGAGACCTGACCCCCCGGGAGGGACATGTGCAGTCTGCAATTGTGTGCACATGAAATGGCTGCAC